ATATATATACATACATACATACACACACACACACACATATATATATATATATATATGTGTGTATTTGCCACCGTTCTTGAGCACAGTTATGAACTCAAATTTATACGCCTTCATACACTCATAGTACACACACCTTTCGGACACCTTCAATTTCCGCATTCTGTTCAGCCAGGGACAATAATGACACCCAAGTATCAAAATCCCTGGGGCTCTTTTCCAGAGCATTCCAATACTGATCAAACACACTCAAAGGCTTCTCCTCCTCCGTAGCAACCACCGCCTCCTTAGCAACCTGCTCTGCTACATCTTGTGCACCTGTTTCAGTAACCTCTGTGCCCGCTGTGATTGTCTCTTCCACAGTTGGTTCTTCTGTGGCACCGTTGGTTTCTTCTGTTTGTGGGGGAGCGATAGGCTCGGCTTCGGCTGCCATGTTTGTGGATGTGTGTGTATACAAGAGTATCTAAAGACACTCGAGCGTGGTATGTATTTATTTAGCAAACAAGCGTGCAGTGTGTGCTGTAATTGTTTGATATTAGCTGTATGTATTTGCATGCAGCGATTGTGATATGTAAATGTCGAGAGAATATAATGCTATCTATAAATACTATGTGCATTTTGGAATACAATCAGCGCGAATGTAGGGGTGCGTGGCCCACGGTGGAAGAATCCCATTAATTCCTCATAATACAACAGCTCTGGGGGTTGACACCTATTTCATCACGTGTGGTTTTAAGTAATTACAACGTATTTCGGCATCTTTTTTTTTTGGCTATGCCAGCAGCGGCCGTGAGCGGGCATCAGTCATAGCGTCCTATTGTATTTGTTTTGTAATAAATTAGAGAATCGTTCGCCTCAGACATATCCGAAAACCCAAAAACCCCCAAAAAAGAAAAGCCGAACTATTTATCATGACAGTCACGACTGTCACACACTGACACAGGTCAGTCACACGCTCTAAACTCTCTAAAATAGACGGATCCCGCGATTATCTTCAAAAAGAGAGAAAGAAGTCAAACGTTGGGCGGGTGCTCCATAAAACTACGCTATTTAAATATATATATGTCATAGCTTTCTGCTTATCGCTATAGAGAAGGCGGCTATGGCTATGTAGTCCTAAAAATTCCTTTGTGAGTTTGCCTTGTGTCGGCAGGACGGCAAAGGATTAATAGACTTTGCACCTGTACATAACTATATATAT